AATAGACAAAACTCATTAAAATTCATTATAATGTACCATGTTACAAAACAAAGTTGTTTCATGGTTCTAAAAACAAGAATTATGGACACATGAAGAACAAATTTCCTAATCAATCATGTCCTCGTATCGATTAATTGAGCTTTTTTCATTGCACTACTTTTGTAATTAACAAAATATATTTGTTAGTTTTCATTTTTTTTGTTTCGAACAATTTTCAATGTGATTTTTACACCGTTTAAAATGTTTCGTATGTGCCGATACTAGCCTCATTTGAAAAAAAAAATATCAATACTACGCCTCTAATCTTATAACGTAAATTTTCAGATTAACATCCCAAAAATACTCCCTGAACATCCCTATCAAACCATTCTAGCTTCATGCAAAAAACCAAGCTTTGGAACCATTGTGTACACAGTTTTTATCCCTTTTACAATATCTGGTATGTGCCGATATTACTATCAATTGAAAGATAAGTTACAGTACGACACCTCTAATCTTATAAATTACAAAAAATTTCAGATTAACTACCCAAAAAAATCCCTCGAATATGCCTATCAAACAATTTTAGCTCATGCACAAAACAAGCTTTGGAACTTTTTTTCAATGCGATTTTTTACCAACTTAAAATATCTCGAATGTGTTGATATTAGCCTCAACTGAAAAATAAATTTCAATACTATGACTCTAATCTTATAAATTAAAAAAAATATTTATATTAACTACCCGAAAATACCCCTCGAACATGCTTGTAAACACTTGCTATGTGGGCTGAAAATGTATATACCTTGTCCTCTACAGAACACGAGGTTTGTCAAATACTATCTACGATAAATTGTTGAAATATTTCAATTTCTCGTGTACCTCGTGTTCTGTAAAACACGAGGTCGTTTAACCTGATATTAAATTAGGTTCTCTGGAAATTGTTTCCACGTTAGGAAAGTCTCGCTCCCTACAAAACTCGAGGTATTTACGCGATTGTTGTAGAAATCGATATAGTCCTACGTGTGTAGTTTGGAAGGTATTATTCCATTTAATGTTTTTTTGGGGTTATTTGTCTAATAAACGAATTTTTTAGTGTTTTTTTTTATAAAAACGCTGAAATTCTTAATAGTAAACAAATCATCTTGTAATTATAAAATGGCTTAATATAAGAACAAGTGTCTAAACTATATTTAAATTAACTCTCAAAATTAACTTTTATTGCCTAAATATTTTTTCTTTAAAAATAGGGGTTTAATATTTTATACAGTTATATTTTTAAGTGTCTACCGTTAAAAATACTGTGAAGTGACACATGTCATGTTTATATTTCTTTTGATTTTGTTTATTTTTTTTTTAAATATGAAACTGATACTTATCATTTGAGGGATTTTCTAACGGCAAGCGCCTAAAAGTGTAACGTAGAAAATATTATACACTTATTTTTTATGAAAAATTATTTAAAAGTCAATTGTGTGAATAATTTAGACACTTATTTTTACCTTAAGTAACAATTATAAATTTTAGGGTAAACTATGTTTATAGTTACTGAATTTTTAGTATTATTTCACTTTGGTTATTACAATTCAAAAATAGTTATTAGAATTAATATTGTTATTATTTCTCATTTTGATCATTAAATTGTTAAACTATTGACTATAATTAATATGACACAACAACGATAACTGATGAGACACTTTAAAATATCTAAAAGAAAATACTCATTGTTCTTCCTTTTATTGATGTTTGTCATTCTTCAATGATTTTTCTTGTTGAAAAGATAATCAAATTATTTATCTTTTTCTTCTTTCACTTTAAACTTATCCAAAATATTTCAATCTTCTTAGATTCTATTCAAATCTAAAAAGTTAAAACCTTTTGATCCTTTACTGTAAATCGTCAGATTAACTGTTTAGTGAATAAAATGCAATTTTTAAAAGTTAGAGATTATTGTTAAATTACTTAAGAAGTTCAATGACGAACAGTATATTTTACCCTAAATCTTTTAGCAGGAAAGATTTTAATAACCCAAGGCCGCGGTACCATTTTCATCTTCGGCGATTTTCTCGATATATCACCAGTGAATAGTATATTTCTAGATCTAATACCAGTCAGATTATATTTTTTGATCTAACCCTCTTAGCAGTAAAGCGCGTTATCTGTACCGCGTTATACGATGATATGGTGCCATGTGGGGTATAGCGCGCCCCCTGCACCGCACTATACAATGATCTGGTATATACGTAGGTATAGCGCGGCCCCTACAACGCGCTATACTTGAATATCTGACACGTGAAGTATTATTTATTATCTTTATTTTAATTTTTTTTACCGTGGCTTGATTTTAGCAAATTTATTTTGTTTCCTTTTCCTATATTGGTTCGATTTTTTAAAAATAAACTTTAATTGTTTTCCATATTTGATTTAATTTGCATATTTGTCTCAATTTGACTTTAATGCTCTTAATTTAGTTTTTCCTTCCTTAGGATATACGTGATTCATGCTATGGTTTCATCCTTTTATTAAAAATCGCCAAATTAATATAGATGCAAAGATAAATAATTTTTAATAAAAGGAAATATAATTAAGAAATTAAAAGAAGCAAAATAGGATGGAAACTATGGCATGAATCACATATATCCTAAGGAAGGAAAAACTAAATTAAGAGCATTAAAGTCAAATTGAGACAAACATGCAAATTAAATCAAATATGAAAAATAATTAAAGTTCACTTTAAAAAAATCGAACCAATATGGGAAAAGGAAACAAAATAAATTTGCTAAAATCAAGCCACGGTAAAAAAATTAAAATAAAGATAATAAATAAATGAAAAAAAATCATACCTTTATTATAACATACATGAAAATAAATAAACAAAAGAATAACTAGAATAAAATATAAATTAAATTAAAAGAAAAAGTAGATCGGAAAATATATTGTTCATCGGTGATATATCGAGAAAATAGTCAAATTAATATAGATACAAAGATAAATAATTTTTAATAAAAAGAAATATAATTAAGAAATTAAAACAAGCAAAATAGGATGAAAACCATAACATGAATCACGTATATCCTAAGGAAGGAAAAACTAAATTAAGAGCATTAAAATCAAATTGAGACAAACATGCAAATTAAATCAAATATGAAAAATAATTAAAGTTCACTTTAAAAAAATCGAACCAATATAGGAAAAGGAAACAAAATAAATTTGCTAAAATCAAATCACGGTAAAAAAAATTAAAATAAAGACAATAAATAATACCTCACGTGTTAGATATCTAGGTATAGCGCGCTGTAGGGGCCGCGTTATATCTACGTGTATGCCAGATTATCGTATAACACGATATAAGGGCGTAATTTACTGTTAAGGATGTTAAATCGAGAAATATAATCTAACCGATGTTAGATAAAAAAATATACTATTCACTGGTGATATATCGAAAAAATCGCCTTCATCTTCACCACCACTTCTTTATGAGTCGATTCGGATTCTATTTTTATTCCAAGCAAGGCAAAGATCGTTTTCTTTTTGAAGAAAATGCAAGATTCTTCCAGACCCGTAACAGGTTACCCAGTTCGGAACCTTAATGGCTGCGCTCCTCCGCTAGCCACCACCTCCGGCACCGGCTATGCCTACGCTCACGTTAGCCTCAACACATATCCTTACTACCAAGCACCACAGCCTCACAAACCACGTCCATCTCCCTCCGTCGCTTGCTTGAGGCGCTCGCCGTCTTCTTAATCATCTGGCTCGTACTCCGTCCCGAGCTCCCCGATTTCTCTGTACAATCCCTATCGCTTTCCAATTTCAACGCCACCAACCTGCGCGTCAACGCCACGTGGAACGCGCAGTTCCGGGTCTCGAATCCAAACAAGAAGCTTTCCATCTCCTATGGGGAAGTCGTTTCGTCCGTTTTTCACAAGGACTACTTCTTAAGTGAGACGAAGGTTCGGGCTGTTTGTGCAGGGCACTCGCAGCACGGGCGCGGTGGAGGCGAGCTATTCGGTGGTGGATTCTTTTGTGGAGGGAAAGGTCGTGGATGAGATGAACGAGGAGAGGTTTGATGGCAAGATGACTTTCAACTTGAAGTTATAGTTTATTTGGCGTTCCGATACGGTGGGTGGAGGGGTCGAGAGAGGTTTCTTACTGTTTGGTGCGACGACGTGGCGGTTTCAGTTTCCTCGGTGAATATGACCGGCTGCACAAAGTGTGCAGCTTTTTTTGAGATTATCGTAAGATCAAATTTCTGTTGATAATTTTTGCATTAAGTTATTAAACTAAGGGTAAATTACAAGTTTAATACCTAAATTATCAGTTTTGGTCCATTTTAATACTTATAATTTCAATTTTTTCAAAATCTTAGTTTTTATTTTATTTTAATACCCATTAAAAATTTAATGTTAAATTTTAAACTTTTTTTTGAAGTTATGGTACTAAAACGGACCAAAATCGTAATTTAAGTGCTAAAAGGAACAAAACTGATAATTTAGGTGCTAAACACATTAAATTTTTAACGGTGTCTATTAAAATAAAATAAAATAAAAACTAAACATTAAGTATGATTTTAGAAAAAAATAAAAGTTTTGTTACTAAAATGGATTAAAATTAATAGTTTAGGTACTAAACTCATAATTTATCCTTAAATTAATTGGATTAAAATGGTTGAAATTAATCTGATTTTAGACACCTTTTAAAATATATACTTGAAATTATTATCATATTAAATAAAATAAATTAGTTGCATATTATTATTTTTATTAAGTAATAATGTTGAAGGGTAGGTTTTCTTTGTTGTACGTAGGATTTTTGAGGACTGGTTAAAAGAAATAAAAGGAAGAAGCAACGGTTACAAATAAAAGGAAGAAGACAAATATACGTGGAAGAAATTAGTGACCAAAACATTTATTAGAACAAAATTTAGAGACCTCTATGTACTTAATTTTTGGTCTCGCTTGTAAATGCCAGATATTTCAACCGCCAATGGATGCAAGCTTCATCCATGGCAACCAAATCGAAAATAAAAGAGAAAACGATAGAAATTATAAAATGACATTCTTAAATAGACGTTACATGCAACAGTAGAAAAACTCATTGTCCATGAAAGCCCTCTACATTGCTACCAAGAGCTCCACACAACTACTTCCCAGACCCTAAACACATTTTATTACCCCCCAAATATCTGGTCAAAAGGATCATTTTGATGGAGAATAAAGATCAAGTTCCTTGTGAGTGTGAATCTCACAGTCCGAGGCCGGCTTCGAAACACAAGTCAGCATATAACCCTCCTTGACTTGATCATCCTCGAGGTAGATAGCGTCCGGTTGATGCACCGAGCCCGAAACAACCTTTGCAGTACATATGGAGCAAGCTCCAGCTCTGCAACAATAGGGCAGTTCCACTCCTGCTGCCTCAGCTGCCTCTAAAATGTACTCATCTTCCGAGGTTTGGAACTCGTTCACCTCACCCTTTGGCCCAACAAGCTTAATCTTGTACATTGCCATTGTTGTTCGATGATTCGAGGAACATTTCAAGCCAAAAGATTTAGAGATGGTTTTAACGGAACCAAGATATGATGGTGCCTTGACTATGGAAGTTGTAAACCAGTTGGGGATTGCAGCTTTAACAATAGATGGGGAGGTAAGGCTCACAGTTGTCATCTTCGTTTTATTCCTTCTCAGTGATTCGACTGGCACACACAAATGGAAAATCGTATAAAGGGTTGCAACATACAAGCATTTAAAACAAACATAAATTCAGAGACTTCAGAATCAGTCGAACAAGAGGGAAGCCAGATGAACCAGCTAGTGAACAACAAAGCCGAAAGGCAGCAACTAAAACCAGACACATCAAACAAGTAACGTTAAACAAATAACACCAAAAGGAAAGTGCATGCCATGTATAAGATAGAGAAACAAGAACCCTTTGTCGTCGTGTTTGAAAAGATGGGTTCGGAGGATGAACATATATCAAGTTAAAGAGTAAAAAGAAGGACATTATGCTTATGCACAGCCTCGCTGAACGAGATTTCTCCAGACAAAAAATACAGTGGATCAAATAATATATCCATCTATTGGTTCATTGAGATTCTCGAGTGCATGATCAGACTTAAAATACGAATTGAAGGTATAATAGATCATCCAACTTTTATCCATAGTTTCAGGCAAAGTGAAGTGAAAGGAATTTTTATAATCTAAAATCACTTAAAGAGAGATCCATATAAAGATGTGAAAAATCTAAAAGAACCATATCAACCGTTTCTGTAGTAACAACACTTTATGTATCGAGCACTACGAGACATGGCAAGGTACGATATCTCTGGCTCCATACTTCAAACACTTAGTAAAAACTTATTGCAAAAAAAGTAAGAACATACTGGGCATTTCTTGGAAAGATTTAAGAAACAGGCATGCAATGGATGTTGTCAAAATTTCTGATCTACTTGTTGCCCAATTCCTTGTCCCATTCGATGCAGGACAAAAGTTAACATCAAAGGCCACATTCTACCATTTGGCAAAAGGAACAAACAAGAATCATCATTTATGACAACAAGATGCATAAATGAGTCTACAAAAAATAAAATATGGCATTTGATGCAGGACTTGAACTTACTGTGCAAAAAAAGCTTTTACTACCATACCATACTTGAAAATTTTTCAAGTCTTTGAATGCACCAGTCATGAAATTGCTAAAGTGAGAACCACTAACAAAATTTTACGTGAATGAATAGCGCATAAAATCAGCAGAAACCAATGATTTCTTTTAGCGCATTTCAACACTCTTCTAGTGCAAAAATGCACAATTTTAACAAAAGCTAAGCTATTCCTTTTACTTTCTCCAGGTTTCAAGTTTCCAAAGTTTTCCAGATGAACTCAGCCGGTAAAAGAGGTAATATCATAGCTCAGCCATACATATGTTCTTCCCGAAAAAAGAAATCAAAGAGAAACCCAGAATTCGACCGATACGCCCAATGAAAAACGTCAAACAGAAGCAAGTAATCGAAGCTGAAAACAGATGATAATCACAAAATTTAAAGCTAAAGAGAGCTTACTGAAGGAGTTTGGGGAGCGGAGAAAACGAGGGATTGAAGTTTTCGAGCCTTAGAACCCTAAAGAACCAAATACAGACACAGTGAGATGCGAATCAGATTAATGCATCTTCGTCCTATTTAATGCTTGAAACGGCGGTATCAAAATCTGAATTATTAAATTATAGAGTTCAAATATTTTCAAAGATTCTCCCACTCAAATCCAAAAAACGCCAAACGTATTAACCAATCAAATGTGACAAAGATATGTTAAATGCCCGATTTTCACTTAATATGTGTGGTTGGTGAGAGCTGAAAAATTATAAATTTTGGAGCCTTTCGATTGCTCCTTGCATTAATCCACTTTCCTTCTTCGATTTCGATGAAACTATGTTATTATATATAACTTTTCAATGTGCTATTAAATAACACACCTACTTCCAAACCGGCCTAATCATCCACGCCCATGGTTTTCTTTTCCTCTTTTGATTATAATTATTTGAATTAATTGTAATTATAACATTTTGAAGAAAATATTTGAGATTTTACCTTAAAGACTGTCATCTAATTTTAACAATACTAAATTTAAGAACAATAAGGATCTGCTACCATAGATGTTAAGCATTTTTGTCAGGTGAGTTTCTTCTTCATTTAGGATGAGACAATATGGATTAGAGGTGAGCATTCCATTGAGTCAAGTAAAAAAAATTGAGTTATTGGAGTTGACAATTAGTATTTTACAACTCGAATTTAACTTAAATTTTTCTCGAGTCAAGCCGAGTTTAAGAAATTCTATACTATTTTTTATTATAATTATTTATAGTATTATGGCAATGATTTGCTTCAATTTTCGATTTTCTCTAACAATATAATATATATACATATATATTATTTTTTACATTATGATATTATTTAATATATAAATATAATCTAAAATTATAAAATATATTCATAACATTGTATTTCAAAGAAAGTATTTTGGGGTAAAATATTGATGATAGTATAAAGGAGTCAAAGAATTGATAAGAAGAAAGAATTTGCAAACAATTGTAGACAAAAGATCAAATCGTGTAAAATGCAAAGTTAAAGGGACTAAATAAAGAGAGAGAATACATTTTAGTAAAAAAAGTAGAAATTGAAGTTACATAGGTATTCTATTGTGATATATGAGCATGTGGTTCAAATTTGATAAAAACATACTTAAAAATAAAGGATGAATTGAAGAAATAAGGAAATTATGAAAATTGAAGGACTAATTTGAAAAATAAAAAAATTATTATAAAAAAAGAGGAATTGAAAGTATATATGTATTCTATGATGTTTTAGGAGCATGTGGTTCACATTTGGTAAAAATGAACTTAAATGAAAGAGTAATTGAAAGAATAATGAAATCAGAGACTAAATTGTAAAACTGTAAAAAATACTTAGTCAGACTTTCGGTTTTTCAAATAACTCGAAATTTCAAAAGTTTAACTCGACTCGAACTCGAAAACCGAATCGATAATTCGAGTTGACTTGAATAACTCAAAATTAAAAAGATTCGATTTTTCGAGTCGAGTCGAATTTTTCTCAATTTAATAAACATGGAAAGTTCAGTTGAAATGCAAAAGAAAACTTTCAGTGTCTCAAAAATTCATAATTTCTATGAATCAAAGAGCATAAATTTTTGAAAATTCCCAGTAAAAAAAAAAAAAAGATCTTTCCATCCATGCATAACTCGAAACGAAAGGTAAAATAGAAACTCAAAAGATTCTGTTGTAAGGGCCCATTGTACTCTTCAAGTAGAGGCATCTCACCTTCAATCGACATCATGTAATCAAAAGAGCGAAAATGATTCCAAAATCCAAAATAATCCATGAATGTAGAGGGACCTAAAAGAACAAGCGCCATACCTCACATTTTGCCAGTTTTTCCTTCAACAATGAAACGAGGAAATTGACGCTCATTTGCACGTTGCTTCTCCTCCATAGTTACATTCCCAACGGCTACTCCCATGCAAAGAACCTTCTTCAATTGGAACTTCACCATTCGTTCACTTTCGACTCCAGAGATTCCCGGTGAGTAACAAGGGTCGGGAATTTCCCTGAAATTGTGCAAAAAACATTGTGTAGACACCCGTTTTTGTCCATGTTTAAAAAAATATATTATTATTATTATTATTATTATTATTATTAATTATTGCATTTTATGCAGGCTCTATAAGTAGACCCTACCCAAGGACCCGGTAACCTAACCCTAACCAACCCAAACCGACGAATGAGCCATCGTCGAGCCATCCCAAAGCTGTTGCGTCATCAACCTACATCAACAATACTCAAAACAATACCCAAATCAGCCAAAATCTGCCAAAGTCAAAATCAAAATCATATCTAACCCACTACATCAACATCTCACCATAAAGTAAGAAAAAAAAAGAAAAAAAAAACAAGGAGATTAGGTGAGTGAAAAAAACATAAAGAGGACCATTTAGGAGAAAGAAAAAATAGAAATTGAGGGGCAAGCATTCAAAGAGAAAAAATTAGAAAAAAAGATTCAGATAACAAAATAACAGAAAAAATATCAATCATTGAAAGAAAAAAATAAGAGGAAGAAAAGTTTACCTTTTGCTCTAGATCTTCTCTGATCTAGCCACTGTCTCGAAAATTCGACTTCGAATTGGTGCTTAGGGCCACAAAACGAGTCGGGTGGTGTATTCTTCTCTCTCCTTCGATGCCGATCGACGCCAATCAGTGATAGACGACGGCCGACGCCAATCAGTGGCAGCCGGCACGGTGATAGTCCACCGGTTTCTGGAAATTTGTTGAACTCCGGTGGGAGCTCTTAAAACTCTCTCTGACTCTCTCTCTTGTTGTGAAATGAAGAAGGGGGAAATGAGGGGCTGTGTGGTTTCATAACCCATAAAACGAGTATTTATACGGGCTACAAAATGACTCCGTTTTGAGCCAATCAACCCGCGTGTTTGGAGCTTTTGGGGTTAATACGACATTTGATCCCTGTATTTTGTAAGGTTTCTATTTTCACCAGTGAATGAAACTTTTAATTTTTAATTTGAGTTCTTTGTTTCTTTTATATTTCATATTAGTCCCCTATGTCTGTTATTACATTTATTAAATATTTAGAGATTTGACTGATGATTTTGTGTAGTATTCATTTTGGTCCCTAGTATTGTTCAATATTTAAAATGAAAAAATTTATGCTTTAGGTCATGAGTTTAGTCTTGTATTTATTTAGTCATTGTTAGGCAGTTGGTTTAATTATTGTTGGATCCTTTATGTTTCTGGTTTATTTTATTTTAGTCCTGTATATGATTTATGGGTTATTTGTGTTTCTGGTACCTGTATTTATTTTAAATTGATTAATGGGGCTTTGATTTGTTCATATTTGTTTATTAAGTCCTTTAAGTTTATGTTTTTTGCTGTTTAATCCTTTAACTTTCTATTTTTGCTATTTTAACCCTTTAAATTCCTGTTAATTTTATTTTAGTTTTGTAAATACTTATATTTTGATGACTTCATTTTGATGTGTAATGTTCACTTATTTTTATTTTAGTCATTTATGTATGAATGTATTTTACATATTATGTGGTTATTTGCATTATGTAAATAATGTGTTTAGTTCCATTTAATGTAAGTATTTGTATTTTCAATTACATTTATTTCTATTACATTTTTTATCTATGTATGAAATATTCGATTTTATTTTCAAGAACACATATGAGTAGAATGAGCGTGAAAAGTACCACCTGGTCGAAGTGATGCGTTCCGGTACGACATTTTAACGACATAGGAACTTGAAATAAGTCGAGTATACTTTTATAATTAAGTTGTTCAAATGATGCAATGTGTGTTATTTTAAGTAACAATTTACTTTATTTTATGTGAATATAAATTTCAAATTTCTTTAATTTTGATTCAATTCATGTTTTTAGTTAATAAATTTATTTTGTTGTATGTAATCATCAATATTTTATTTATATTCGATTCACATATCAATGAGGGAATATTCTTTTAATAATAAGAAATAGTCGAGTTAGATTTCCCGATGGAGGATTGCTAATTTTGAGATTTCCTTTCGAGTTAAAGAATTTTCTCTCATTAATTAATTCAAAGTAGAATAATTTATGTTCGATAAAAGGATCATATTTTAACTTTATATTCGATTTATTATTTCCACCATTTACGACAAAGTGTAAGCGACACATTACCAATTTTGGGCGCTGTGGGGGTACTAATCCTTCCCCACGCGTAACCGACTCCCGAACCCGTTTCAATCGAAGCTTTGTAAACGCAGACCAGTTTTTATCTTAAAAATGATTTTTTTCTTAAAATTGTATTTTAAAAGACGTTTTTAGGTATTCGACCTAGCTACCCCAAAGGTCGATGACGACTCTTATCTATTTTCATCCAAATTAATTCCAAATTACCAATTTTTCCAAATTAAAATCATAACTATTTTGAAAACAATAAATAATTGTTTCACCTAAAAAATGGTTATGACAGCTTGGCGACTCTGCTGGGGACTTTTTTTTAGAGACTCAGGCTGTAAGTCGCTTACTCATTATCGTTGTGGTGGAAATTATGAGTTGAGTGTTTAGTTAACTTATGATCCTTTTGTTGAAGTTTTTAATTGCTTCATTTTTTATTATCATTGTAACACCCCCAACCTGTACCCGACCCGGATACGAATCCGAGGTGTCACATTGACATTTCAAAACATTTACTTGTACAAAATAGTGAATAATTTTAAACTTTTACTAAATACAACTAAATAATTTACATGAAATACAATCATATAATTTTACAAATCCGATTAGAGCATATTGTATTCAAATATTTATTTACATGAAAACCACAATCAGCATTACAAATACATACTACCCTATTCTTTTCTGATCTGATCTTTGGAAAGGAGAAACTGACATGTCTTGCTTAACTTTTATCAGTCTTCCTCTTCTCGGAACCTACGTGTGAAACAATCATATGCTAAGTCGTTGACTTAGTGAGTCATATAAAACATATAATAGAAACAATAGAACATTTCATATAACAAAATGCATACATACACATATACCATCATTATCAACATCGACATCATTATCATGAATCCATTTATCATATGATCTTGTACTTATCATTTC